GTTCCTGCAGGGATGGGGTTGTGGGTGCAGAGGGGTGCTGATTTGGAGTTCCCACATACCCAAACAGGCAATACCCTCAGTGCAAGAAGCAGGGAGAAATAAACCTTGGCATGGAAAGGAACCAGAAGCAAACAGTTTTGGGTGAACAGGAAATATCTCCCCTGAGAGTTTGTATTAGAAGCCAGGCTTCACCTGGATTTGCACTCTGAATTCTACCTGTGTGATGCAACAACACTTCCAGAATCAAATTTAATATAAAGTACTACAGGATAATTCAAAGACTGTATCTTTTCATCCACAGAACTACAATAATTTTTAAAACATTCATTTTTTATTACACAGGTTCGCTTGACTATCATATTTTAAAAAACAGAAAATACAAAAAAAGAAGAAACATATGAGCACTTTTCAACAAGTTCTATGTATTCATCGGAATGAATAAGAAATCACAGAGTTTTAAGGACAGCAGTCAAAGATAGCTGTGGCAGCAAAATGCTTAAAGTTCTTTAATGTTAAAAAAAAAAGACTTATTTTAACTATTTGCTTGACTCCTTTTTTACTTTTTTGGAGGGCCTTCCATGTGAAAAAAATGAGATAAAGCTTTTGGAGTTACTTTGGAACAAAGTGTTATGATGCTCCTTAATATGCTAAATTAATGACAGTGAATAGTTTTCTTTGATTATATCAATATTCAGGCTTACTGGGAATAGTAATAGACTTCTCTGGACACCATGGGACTTTAGTATTTAACACTGGGAAGATCTCAAAAGCCTTTACAAGACAAATGGGGACGTTAGATCCTGGTAAATATTCAGGTCACCAGTAAAAAGTAGTGTAAAGGGAATGATTATCTTGACATATTGTTTTCCTCTGGTAATCAGCCACACTCTTTCAGATGTTCAAATTTGCTTTATTTGTTCAAAGGGAACCAATGAAGGCCATAAAACACATCATTTAAGTAGTCAGTCTCCGTATTTCACCCAAATTGATTTTTTGCCTCTCTTATGCCATTTACCCACCCTCAACATTCCTTTTTACAGATGTTCGTAATACGTATAATTTCAAGTAATTCAGGCTTCACCATAAATTTAGCTGCTGATAGACAATGAGATAAGGTAGTGCTCACCAATGCCTAAATAATTAGTAGCTTTACAATGGGAACAGGACTTGGTATTCAGGCTGGAACTATTTTAAATCCAGAATCAAGATGTCTCAGCATGATTCCCTTCAAACTATGAAAATAGATCTGCATAGTATTTCATTAAACATAAAGACACTTCTTTAATGAATTAAAACTAATCTCATCTTTCTGATGTCTGGATGTCTTCAGTAGAAAAAGTGAGAGCCCACCCTCTTAATTTATTCCTAAGGCAGTTCTCTAACTAAAGCCAGACGTCTAGCCACACTCACCAAAATTGGCAAAAAGATTATGCTGCATTGCAATCTAGGGAAGGACACAAAATGAGTGTAACTTGAAATAAAAAGAAGCATTTTGGAGAGAACATTTGTTGGTCGCCTCCCCCACATACCTTCTAGCCTTCTTCCTTTTTAATAAGACCTCAAGCTTCTCAGTCATGAGGCTTGGCTGGAATTGAACTCTCCCAAGAATCCAAGGACAGGCCCTGACTGGCTTGTGTCAGCCAGTGTTTCCTTCTCTCCCAGCAAGAGTAAATGGCTTTTTGGAGGAATTCTGAGAAAGAAGTGGCCTCTATTTTCTGTGTAAGCTACCAAGAGAATTCTTTCTCCTCTCTGCTAAAATAGAAAAGTGTGGCACCTTTTCCTGCTGCCAGTCTTTTGTGTCCATAAAAGAGGTCAGTTTTTAAATGAAACTAATGATGAGAAAGACAGTATGGAGAAACAAAAAGAAATTCGGCCCCGACTGAGCCACTAGATCAACCTGTATCTGAAGCTTGCCCCACCCTTATTGTTTAAGCTAATCCAAGTTTGACTTCTTGTTACTTGCAACCAAATAATTGCAAGTAACAGATACTTGTGACCTAGTTAATTATTAATGGACGCTGAAACCGGATTAGAAGATAGGCATCCTTAAAAAAAACCCCACAAATTTGAATAAAATTATCCAGATTCACAGCTTGGTGCAGGGCATCTTCCTTGACAAGCAAATGTAGCCTGGTGTTTAGTAAAGTTAACTGTATTACAATGAAAAGATTTTAACACTTGCATGTAGAAAAGTCTATTATTGCTGGTAGAGTGGCAGATTTTGTTAAAACATTTCAGTTCACTGTGGAAAAAGAGCTGAGGCTAATACCTCAGTCCATCCCTATGCATAGGCTGTGAAGAAGAAAAAAAGGAACAAGTGTATAATTTCCTCCATCATCTCCATGGCAATTTGCAGTCTCCTTCCTGAAATGTTTAATCCAAGAACACTATTTTGTTTTGTTTTGTTTTTAAGAAGAAAGATAAGAATTCACAGAGATACTCTTTGAACAACCAAGATAAAGACTTTTTTTGTCTGCTTCATTTTTCCCTTTTCCTATTGAATGTCACCAAGAGGAGCACATTTAGAGGCTTCCTTGGTGTATTGTATACCAGTTTGGCCAGTGTCCACCACCTGACCCCTTTCCTCTATCCACGTGGTTGCAACAGTGGGTTCCTGGCAGCCATGATTAGCCCTGCCTACCAGATTTAGTTTATTAGACCAGGAATGGATGCCTATTCCAATAAACCAAATGCTCTTCTCTAGAAATTTGGCTTGGGAACCAAGAGAATGTCAACTTAATTTGTTCCCTGTGGCTAGACCAGGAACATATAAAATCAGTAGGGTTGAGTGATCCTTAACTGTATGGACTAGGAAGTTAAGAAATCAAGTCTACAGTGACATATTGTAATGATAAGAAGACTTAAAGAGCTAATAGTTACTGAGTGCTTGGTAAGTAGCAGGCACTGTGATAAGTCCTTTACAAGCATCACTGTTTAACACTCAGAACCACCTTTCAGGAACCTACTATCATTATACCCATTTTACAGATGAGCTCACTGAGTTGTTAGGTAAATTGTTCAAGATGAGAGGGTTCATGTCAGAGCAAAGATTCTAACTCAGACAATCTGTCCTCAGAGCATTTGCTCTAAGCCACCAAGTCCTGTCTCTTGTGCCATTTTGTGCCTAAGGTTCAGATGTATCTCTCTTTGAATCCTGCAAAAATCACTCAGTATTTCTGTCATAAACTTTCCATTTTTCTTTAGTTTAACTTGGTCTCTGCTTCTTGCAACCAAAAATGTCTTAAGGAGTACATTTGTGATAATCAGACATCAAACATTTATAGTTCCCAGGAACTCGACAGACATGAACAAATTAATGTCTCATTACCACAGGGCCCCCACTGCGGTAGGCTGCTGGGCATCTTAATCCATGAAAACTACAGATTCAGATTCTGTGATCAACGCCTCTTGTTTTTGCCCTGTACACAGCAGATGCTCCATCTCTGGGCATTTTGGTAGTAGGTGGATAATTTCCTTGAAATGGATCGAGTGCTTCATGTTCTTAAGAGGTAGCACAGACAATACCCTCCTCTGCAGTCTTGGCATTTTGAAGGACGCATGCAGGGCTCAGTCAGTAGTTAGAATCCAGGAGGAAAATGCAGTTAGGTTAAATTTTTGAAAAATAAAACCATATTACTTATGGCAAGATTAACTCAACGCTGAGAACTGAGCTCTGGAGTCAGGCAAATCTGATTTTGAACTGCCACCATCTCCACCCCTAGCAGCTTTGTGATGTTAGACAACTTTCCTAATGGTTCTCTCTTTTATGTGTTTTTAAAATATTACTTTGGGAATTGAAAAAGTACCCCAAAAAAGAATGAAAAAAGAAATAACAATGGACCATATCTATCCCAGAATTAATTGTTATTACATCTTGGCTTATTTGCCTCTATTTTCCATGTATGCTTGTTAGGCCAGTTGGTTGACTGAAGAGAAATCACACAGTGATGTTCATAAAAATGATATGTGTTCAATATAAAGAATTCAAACAATGCAGAAAAATAAGAGGAAGTCTTATTTTAATCCACACAAATTTCACCATCCAGAAATTAGTATTATTTCCATCAGGTGAACATTATTATGTAAATTTTCTGTGTATGTACAGAGACAAGCTTGGCTACATAGGTAAATTAGATAATGGATAGAAATACTTTGCTAGAATCAGATACTTTCAATGGCTTTTAAATAATATATTAAATTTAATTTTATTCCACTTTAATAGAAAAAAATAAACAGAAGAGACACAAGAGGCATTATTCCTATACTTTTAAATTTCTGATTTCCTTAGCTTGAGAGCCCCAAATTCCAGTGCAAATATCTCCACATCCCCTCACATCCATGTATCCTAAATTTCAGAAGAAAGAAGCCCTTCAGATCATCCCATGTTTTTTTTTAATTGAGGTAAAATACACATACCATAAAACTCACTATTTTAACCATTTTAAAGTATACAGTTCACTGGCATTTAATACATTCACAGTGTATTCACAGTGTTTTACAACCACCATCTATATCTAGTTCCAAAACATCTTTATCAACACACACACACACACACACAAAACCTGTAACATTTAAGCATTCACTCCCCTACTTGCCCCCTTCCAGGAGGAAGGGTGAGCTCTTCCTAAGAAAATCTCCTTAAAATAGTCATGAGCATAGGAAGGTAAAGAAAGTCTATTTTACAGTCTTACCTGTTAGTAGGTAATAATTCAGTCCGACAAATATTAGCTCCCATTTACTAAGTGGTCATTGTGTGCCAGGCACTTGAGTCTGCATTTCACATAGTTCTCCTTGAATCCTCAGCACAGCCCTGTGATGCAACAGGCACCAGTATCATTCCTTTCAGGCAAGAAAACAGAGGCTCAGGATGGGCCTAAAGTTTCTCAACATGTGCCAGAGGTGGTATTTGAACACACTGTCAATCTGACTGCAAGTCCATGCTCTTAACGCATACACTATTAACTATTACACATGCTGTATGTTTCAGGAAGACTATTGGAAGACCATTCCATCTTCAGTGGAAGATCATTGAATGTCTACAGCCACTGCTTTCTTCTTCTGGACAGACCTGGTAATTAGACAGTTGGAATGAAGTTAAAGAAGAATTTGAGTTTGTATATAAAACTCTTATCAGTATCTCCATCAAAATTATTATAATTCAATTAATCCTTATCACTTTTCTAGTGTGAAAATTAAATGTCAGCTAAGCCTAGGAATGTCACATTAAAAAAATCAAGTCAAGATGGAACAATTCAAATGTGTTATCAGATTGAGACCACACATAGCGCAAGTTCTTACACCCTTGCTATGGGAGGTAGAAGAAATGGCCCCCAAAGATGTCCATATCCTAATCTCTGCAACCTGAAAATATGCTATTTTGCATGGCAGAAGGGACTGCCAGATGTGATTAAGTATCCTGAAATAGATTGTCCTGGAATATTTAGGTGGGCCCAAAGCAAACACAAGTGTCCTGATTAAGAAGGAGGCAGGCAGGTCAAAGAGAGGAGTAGATATGAGCAAAGAAAACAGAGACTGAGTGATGTGAGGTTATTAGTCAAGAATGCACACAGACTCTAGGAGCTGGAAATGGCAAGGGAACAGATTCTCCCCTAGATTCTCCAGAAAGAAAGTAGCCCTGCTGACACTTTGGTTTTAGCCCACTGAGACTGATGGTGGATCTCCAGAACTGTAAGATAGTGAGTTTGTATTGTTTTAAGCCACTAAATTTGTAGTAACTTGTGACAGCAGCAATAAGAAACTTGCAGACAAACCTTTCTGAGTCATATGATGGTTAGATGTTAAACTACCTCTGAATGTAAGATATGACGTCATTTAAAAAGAGAAAAAAAGTGTCTTTTCATACTAGTCTTTTTAAGATTTTGAGAAAATGAAACATGGTCCCTTTTGTGAAGGCAAAGGGCAGAAGAAGGCAGAATGGTACAGGTACAATCTTACCTTTCAGAGAGGTCAGGGCATCATCTATAAAATGAGGATAATGTGAATTCGGAAGACTGTTGTGAGTGTAACCCATATAAAATCTATACAAATCCCTACCATGTGGTCCAGTTTAAACACAGAATCATATTCAAAGAAACAGCAGCCAGATAAAAAAGCACAATTCAGAGCAACTCATATCCTGATCCAAACTTTTAAGAAGATTGTGAAGAGGAAAATTCACTCTTAAATAACTCTCAAAGATCCTTTGGGGGATTCTCTCATTCAGTGTCTATAGCAGTAGCTACAAAGATTCTCCTTTTTCTCTCTCTATCTCCCAAAATTGTTCTCAATGCCCAGTCCACCACCTGTTGTAGTCTAGCTCCCTTCTCTCCTCCAAGCCTCAGCCCTGAAACACGTATATCGTGTATATCAAGTGGGCAACAAGGATGCTGCTCAACACCCTACAGTGCGTAGGTCAGCCTCCAAAACAAAGAACTATTAGGCACAAAATATCAAGGAGCCAAGGATGTAGATGAACTGATTCTCTCCATCTCTTGATTTTCTTTTCATTTGGGAGCACCTGGATCCTGCACCGCAAAGGTAACTCCTTGACCAATGCAGCAGCAAGACTCTTTCCTCTCTAGAAATGAGGGTCCTGTAAGAATTAATGCAATAATATATACAAAGTTCTCAGCATGGTTGTTCAAACCATGGATGCTAATGGGGTCTCAAAAATATTAGTTCCCAACCCTTTTTCCAGAAGGGAATGAAGAATCCAATTTATTCTTAATATGGTGTCCCCAAGATAATAGCATCTCCGTACTGTGTCCTCCCACCCCATAGCTGCCTCATATTTTTGAATATTTAAATTATAGAATCTGTTCATCTGCTGAAAAGGAGTAGCATATTCCCCAGGAGAATTAGGTTTTAGAAATGAGAACATCAGAAAAACAGCAGAGAAGAGGATTATCGAAATCCAGTATTCAACAGCTGAATACTGAAGGCTTCAATTAATATGTTTCAATATTTAAAATAAACAAAAAATTTATCATCACATTCACAATGCATTTAAGAAGGAAAATGACTTCTACCTGTTTTCAAAAATACCTCATTTTTATTGTGATGACCATGAGGCTTTTTGCATTTGTCTGAATATATTGAATTCAATTTCTTTGTATAGATGATTTTTTATATTGTCGTAACATGTACATATCATAAAGTTTACCATTTTAACCATTTTTCGGTGTACAGTTCAGGGGCATTAACTTCAGTCCGACCATTGTATAACCATCACCATCATCTATCTTCAGAACTTTTTTCATCTTTTAAGACTGAAACTCTCTACTCATTAAACAATCACTCCCCACTTCCCCTCCCACCATTCCCTGACAATCACCACCCCATTTTCTGTCTCTATGAATTTGATTATTTTAGGTACCTTCTATAAATTGAATCATACGGTATTTGTCCTTTTCTGGCTGGCTTAATTTCACTTAGCATAATGTCTAGGTTTCATTTGTTTATCCATTTATTCATCAGTGGACACTTGGATTGCTTCCACCTTTTGGCTAAAGTGAATAATACTGCTAGGAGTATGGGTTTAGCATACATGTTTTTTTAAAGGCTTAAGTCACAGTGATTTGAGTTCATTTTAGATTTGTACACGTTTAACATGAAATTCAAGTTTTACTTTTACTGGCCTGGCCTGTCGAATATTGCAACAAGTTAAGCTTTCTGAAACAAAATTAAATAAAACAACAATAAAAGATGACATAATTATAGTAAAGTCAAGAATATCTATACAGTATTATAAGGGTTAAAAGCATGGTGCTCTTTAGTCAATCTGGCCACATGCAACTCTGGGCAAGTAACTTCATCTTCCAATAATAATTTTTATTCTTCATTGAGTAGTTACTAAATGCCAGATGTTGAGGAAGGCACTTTACATATATTAACTCTTGTTATGATTATAACAGCACTTTGAGAGATACACCATTATGATCCCCATTGCACTTAGCCCAGCAGTTAAGAAGATGGGCTGAATCCACATTGCCTGGCTTCAAATCCTGGCTCCTCTACCTACCAGCTATGGACCCCTGGTCAAGTTAATTAACCATGCACTAATTTCCTCAAATGTAAGATAGAAATGATACTGTCTACTTCAGAATGCTGTTATAAGGATTGAGACAACGTATGTGAACTCTTATCTCAGGACCTTGCATGTACTTAGTACTCAACAAATATTACATGTTAATTTTTTGCATCTACTTTTCACTTAGTACAAGACCAGGTACATTTCTTCCCTATCCTTAATGGCCATAGCTGAGGAGTAATTACAGTATTTGCAACCTGATGTTAATATTAGCTTAATCCAAACTTACTTAAGAAACGTTGTAATTCTCAAAGTTGGTATTTACATCAAGCACCAATCATCAACCTCACTTTTTGGAAAGCCCTTTACCTTTGGGTCCAATCTAACAAGACCCCACTTAGGTCAAAGCAGGATCATGCCCTCATTCCCTCAATCCTGTTCAACAGAGAGAAAATGGATAATCAGTATATGTGTGCAAGATAAAAGCCTTTACATACGGATTGGATTCTACTGAGTGAGTAAGCTTTCTTTGAAAAAGAATAACTACTCCCTCTAATAAGAAACCCCTAGATGGCCTCTGTACAGAGGTGACTCTTCGTCAAGCGTTATCAACTGCTTCCCATCACTTCACCGTGATGAAGGGAAGAGCTGTCATACAGAAGTTTTGCTGACCAGAAGAGTATGCACATAGCCTGTGACAGATGGATTTGACCCCCTCTGTCTTCCTGACGTCTGTGCTTTTGCATGTGCCATTTCATGTATAGGCATATCCTTCCTTGCCTGTGCAACTATTATCCATTCTTTAAGTCACAGTTCAAATACCATGTTCCTCCATGAAATCTTGTAAGCCTAGCCATTTGTAGGCTAGACTTTTGACGTTCCCTATTTAACTCCAATAGCATTAATTTACACATCTTTATCGACATTTGTCGTATACTTCTTGGCTTGATTTGCACATGTATGTCCAGGAACCTTACCTTTTTCATCTCTGGAATCCTCGTAGTTCTTAACGTGGCATGTAACAGATGCTCAATAAACATTGACTGGTTGGGTACTACCAGTGGACTATCTGCAGGTAGGTGAAACCTATGAAATTGAACCTGATAATTTAATGCTTGTGCCTCGTTTTGTCCTCCACAATTACCCTCAGAATACAGCATTGGACTGATTTGTCTGAACAGGTTATTTGTTTTGCATTACTTTCACACTGTTTAAATCTTCGTGGTCAGAAAATACGAGAATGAAAAACACAGATAATCAAATAGGAGCATCGTTGTTTGTTACAGACGGAAAAAGCGTCTCATGCTTGATTTGGTGCTGTTCTTAATGACTTAATGGAATGAAAAACAGGCATTGTCTGGGATGACTTCAACAGTATGCAGTGATGTTTCCTGGAGGTAAACAATCAAAAAACAGATGATTTCAAAAGTCATTATGAATAATCTCACTGGACACTGAACTGGACCAAAGCTCTGTGCAAATAAACAACTTTGGGTAGGAAGAATGTTTGGAAATACTCACACATGGACGAATACCAATTTGCAACTTCTGTAAAGAGAAAGTGGATGGCCTTTTGGATTTGTCAAAGCTATTTATAAAAGTCCACAGAATAAAGTATTAGAGAATTGGCAAGATACAAAATTCGTTGGCTGATGTTGCCCAAAACTAAGGAGCTCGCCTTAAGTGTTGAAAGGGGTCCCTCTGTTTCACCTCGAAGAATTGAGTGATACATAATGTTAAAGGAAGAAAAGCCACGTGCAATCAAAGATTGAAATCATCAGATTCAATATAAACAAAGATGTCAATTGGCAAGCAATATTTACCATGAATAATTAAACTTAAGGTTGGCTGAAGCCAGACTCCAAATAGTTTCTTGATGTAAGACCAAACTCACTGAATATCCTCCAGGGGCTTCCCCATGTGTTAAATGGAAACCAGAGACCCAGGGTTCTGGACCTGCCTCTTGGAAGGAAAAAGAGCTGCCTACATTCCTGATATTATCACCAGAGAGTCCTACCCACATGCTCAATGATTTAGATACC